TTTTTTTTTTTTTTTTTTTTGAGAGAGGGCCTCATTATGTAGTTCAGCCTGGCCTTGAACTCACTATGTAGCCCAGGTTGTGCTTGAACTCACAGCAGTCCTCTTGCCTCAGCCTCCTGGAGGCTAGGGTTACAGGTGTGCTATCACACCCAGCATGATGTCTCTGTTTTTATATCAGGGTAGCTACTGGCCTCATTGTATGTGTCAGGAGTGCTCCAGCTTCTGATTATTGGGAGAGTTTGAGAAGAATTGATGTTAATTCTTTAAATATTTGATAGAGTTCACTAGTAATGCCATCCTGGGCTGGGCTTTGCTTTCTGGGTAGTTTTTCTGATAGAATATGTATTAAGAAATTACTCGTTTTATCAAAGTTGCCTAATTAATTGGCCGTTGGTAGTTTTCCCCCTTTTCTTGTAGGATATCCTTTTAAAAGTAACCTTAGTGGCCGGGTGTGGTGGCACACGCCTGTAATCCCAGCACTTGGGGCCCAGCCTGGGCAATTTAGCAAGATCTTGTCTCAGAACAAAAGATTTGGGGTTGAGGGTGTAGCTCAGTGGTAGTGTGCCTCCTACGGCTCAAGGTCCTCTTCTTCCCAGTTTCACTGAAAAAACAAAACTAAACAAAGAGGATAATGTCGTTTTTAAAAAATCTTATGTGTTTTCATATAGAATTTATGTTATTTACACATCTTGTGGCTGTGTGTGTCGAGACAGCTCCTGTGAATCTCATTGCCCTTCCTGCTCTGTCTCTAGCTGTCTCTCTGCGCCGCCCCAACACTGTACTGTAGTATGATCAGCTGTGGTGTTCTTTATATTTGCCTTGCTTGGTATATCGATATCTTCTATTGATTGTGGGAAAAATCTAAGACATTTTCTTCTCACCTATTTTCTCTTCTACATTCATTATATTCTCTTCTTCTGGGAGCAGTTAGATATATATTAGACCTTATTTTATCTTCCATGTATTTTTTCTTTTTCCAGTGGTGGAGATTGAATCCAGTGCCTCACACCTCACTTCTCCAGCCTTTTTTATTTTTTATTTTGGACAGGGTCTTGTACTATTGCTAAGTTTCCCAGGCTGAGCTCAAATTTGGGATCCTCCTGCCTCAGCCTCAGTCTGGGGATTGCAGGTGTGCACTACCACACTCACCTCCCACTTATTTGAAGTACACTTGCATATTTTCCTCTCTTTGTCTCTGTGTTGCATTCCAGATCTTCCCTCCCACCCCCAGCTCAGTCTTCCTCTTCAATTACTTCTTTGACTCTCTCTAATCTGCTGTTTTCTACTTGTTTGAATTTTCTGTTTCAACAGTTTTATATTTCAATTTCTGAAAGTTCTATTTAGGTTATTTTCACACCTCCTCGGCATCTTTGCTAGTTTCCTGTTACCAGTCTATTTAAATTCTAGCCTTTTTTTTTTCTTTAAAGCAAGATATGAAGTTATATTCTGTTGTAAAATATCTGGGTATTTTATCTGATTTATGGCTACAGGCTTGTTTGATCACATTTTTGACACTAAATGTGAGCTCGTATGTGTTTGGTCTTAGTCTTCAGGGACACTGGAGAGGACAGCAGTCCTTGGCTTGAGGCATAAGCCTTGGATTTGGACCCTCTACCCTGGGGTGCAGCCTGGCGTTTACCTGCTGGACAGCTCAGTCCTCCTGGTTGCTTCCATCCCCAAACTCTAGTTCCGGCTCTCTTGGGGCTGAGTGGAGAGACAGTGGGGGTTGAGTTAGGGACGCCTCTCATCTTCTGCAGGCCACAGTGCACTGACAGGAGAGTTAGCAGGATCAAGTTGTTTAGTAAGAGGGCCTTTTTTCCTTTTAATTTTCTGCATTCCTGGATATGGAACCCAGGAGCACTCTTATCACTGAACTCCCTCCCCAGGCCTTTTTATTTTTTGTGAGACTAATTTGTCCATGTGAGAGTTGAATTCATGAGCTTCCTGCCTTCTCTTCCCTGAGTGCTGAGATTATAAGCATGTGCCACTGTGGCACACAGCCTTTCTGTAAGTTGCAGTCTTAGAAATAAAGTTGCTGGTTGGTTTTTGATGGTTTTTGACACATTGTCCTCCCAAAAGGATTTTACTAATTAGGTTCCTTCTTGCAACAGTGGAGGGCACTGTTTCCCTGTCACCTCACAAATGCCAGATAAACTTATTTAACTTTGTAAGGTTTAATTTCA